TAATATAAGCTTCATTTTAAGGTAAAATTCAACCACAAACACTTCGCAAAACGTTTTAAAGTGTTCTTTATAAAACTAAACTGCCTTTAATTAAATGGCTTTATCGATGAACTTTGAGTTTGCAATAAAATGATTTCAAATTCTCGCATGCAAATAACTTTGCTTTCTCTTTACTTAAAAAAATTCAGTATAATAAAAAAGGATATCAATATTTAAAGATACACTCGGAAGAGTCTGAAATTATAATTATGCTGTCTTGTTTAGTTGTTTCATTACAGTGGCGTAGCTAGCGCTCCTGCTTATCCTGCCCAGCAGGACTAAAAATTTCCCCAAATTTCCTTACTAAAACATTACTTTATTTATCTTGAAGCTTTAAAAATTTATTATTATTATATTGTTATTTTGTATCATTTTCTTGTCTTTTTCGTTATTATTTTTTAAACGTTTTCCGTATTCCATTACATTTCCACAATTTTACAGCTTACCGTCTGTGTTACCTAGCAACTGCAACTCTACAAAAGCTCATTTCCGTGCAATATATTGATTTACACGCGCTCGTGTTTCGGTCCTGTCATTTTCAAATGGCAGGACTTGCTAGTATATTTCATAGTAACTTCATACAAGATACTACATAGTAACAAGATATTACATAGTAACTTTATACTTCATACATGCTCAAACCGGCTGTTTACAAATGCGAAGTCCTGTTCTATCGAAATCGGGCTGGACTTGGCCTTGTATTGTCTTTTCTTGCGAGCTTTCTGCGTGATTAAACCCACTTTTTACTAACTCTGTCAAGATTACTCAAGTCAGTGAATATGGAAATCAACCAGCGTGGAAGCCCATTGTGATTTGGATATAATATCTGGCTTCTGCTAAGATATTTTAGCTCACGAAATGCATGTCAACAGAATCGATTGTGTATTTTGTGTCGTATTGATATAAAGTATGAACGTATTATTTGCCAGTTCATCTGCTTTATGCATTGGCATGAAACACGAGCGCTTACATGGAGTTTAAAAATGATATAGCCACCAATTTAGATTTACAAAGTTTATGACTGTTATTTATGTAGATATTTGGCCGCATTTTAATACACTATATTTACTTTAAATGCTACGGCAACTATATTATTAAATACCATAGCCATAGCCCATAGGTCGCCCTATGTAAAGGAATTCAAGATGGTGTTGGATTCCGGATCCTGGCTCGTGGATTCCGGATCCTGATCCGTGGATTCCGGATCCTGACCCGCGGATTCCGGATTTCTTGTTAATAATAGTTAGTGGATTCCTTGACTAATTGTTACTTTTTATAAAGATTTCAATAACTAACCTGTATAACATCCGGTCAAAATAAGGCTTTATTTTATTTTGTAAGATTAGAGGACCTAAAACTGCTAAAGACTGCTGTAAACATGTATGCGGTAGTCTTATACATGTACATCAGTAACCTTTAAACACTTTTAAAAAACAAAACATGATATTAAAGCTTATTACATCGACATAATAACAAGAAACACTAAATGTCAATATTACGAAGCATTATTCATCATTCGGTAAGTTCTGTTAATATATATTATTAACTAACGCAGTATAAAACGACTAGTCCTTCTTCCTAACGAGCTCATTCCCTCAAGTCTTAATTAATGGTCCTGTTTCTTGTGTTTCAGCAGATACTTTTTCCTGCTTCTCCTCTTCTTCATCTTCACTTTCATCGTCCCCTTTAACAAGCCTACTCAACCGGATGGCTTCATTGGGAGACAAAATAACATTTCAACTGTCTTCAAGTAAGAAATTGTCCACCTTTGCTAAGACGCAGTTCATGCTCATGTATTTTCTAGTAGCCACTTCGACATAAATATTTTGCATCAGTACGGCAAGTCAATAGGGGGACAATTCTCTCCTACGATTATGTCTAACTGCAATTACATCATCTTTTAAGTAGACCATACGCACTCTTATTGTTGTCTGTGCATTGTCCTCCATGTGCACCATCGGCAACAAAACACGCATGTGTTACATCGGGTATGTCTGATGGAATTGAGATGACTTACGGACGCATACTCAGGGTGCACGGCAAGGTACCTGTCGGTTAATTCTTTAGTCTTTGAGCGAACATTTGTTTGTCGAACTCCTCTTCCCTGTTCTTGGATAAAAATTTTCATCACTCTCCTTCTTCTCGTTTGTCTTCTTTGGCATCCCCACTTCCTTTTTTGTGTGGAACATTGTCTGCTGGCCCTGTCAGACAAATTTGGTGGCTCTTCGTTAATAATCTTCTCGGGATAAAACAAATATGGGCCAATGAAGTAGCTGAAGTGTTTCTCGGGTAAATCCAAAGCATGATAACTTCAACACAGCGAGCTCGCTTGTGTGCGTATTCTGCAACGTATACCTTTGAAGAAAGTCTCTACGCTTAATGTTGTCAGGCTTGTGAAGCGAATCTTGTTGGCCAATTCCTCATGATTAATCTCCATCAGCGTGTTTAGTAGACCGGTGAAGGAGTCTAAGACAATTTCAAAAGATCGTCTCGTTGTTCGCGGTATAATCATGTCTGGGCCGTTTGTATTTAACTTCCCCGTCCTAACTCTAGCTTCGTCCTCTAGATTAGCAAAGAAGGCAACAACTTCCTGTACAATTCTCAGGTGGTCGTTATTTATTATGGGTAACTTCTACTGTTTTGCCTTTTTATCAAGCCTAAACAGATTTGCGTATTTAGCCATTTCTTGTTGGAGTGGAATCAGCTCTACTGCTACTGAAATGACAATGATCCTTCGAGATCCTTATTCATAACAAGCACTTTTGAAACGCCTTGGTACTGAGTACACTCCTTTTGCAGGCTTTTTAATAATTCTAGTATTCTACATGTTTAAATATGTACTTCCATATATCAGCACTCCTAAAGTTTATAATTCATCTCTATAGCTTCATATTAAAGATGAAAAATAACAATGATCGGTTATTATTTATATTTCACTGTATGTACTATTAAATTATATCTGAGAATTGAACAACGGCAACGCTAAATATTTATGATATTTAAATTTCAAAGGGATATAAAAGGGACGATACCAAGGGTGGGAAATGTGGAGGGGGTATGGGTCACGTTTCACAATGAAAACAAAAGCCGTTTCACCAATTCACGTATCTTAATTTTAAAAAAGCAATTTGACATTTCACGCAAATTTTAATAAAAATAATATAATAATAATACTTAGGTTTATTAATAGTATGCTTAATGCATGGTACAGCATCTACGTTTTAAGTTATCTCACTTCTCTGCCTGGCAGTTAAAAACTGCATTATAACTTACATGTTTCAGTGACGTGTACGTGCGATGACCTCCAAAAGGCCTGAGAAATGTTTGCTCTTGTGCAATGCAATCGAGTGACATCGATCATATCAATTATTATCGCATATTATGTCCATTATGACTTTTATAAAATAGATTGAAATAAACAAAGTAAAATCACAGTTCACAAAACAGAAATCCTTAATTTTCATCTCACGGAGCATTTCTATCGACAATCACGCCTCACGGCTATAGAACAAACCACATTTCACGACACTAAAGTCAAGCATTTCGCTCGAACAAATATTGATCATTCATGACTCACGAAAATGACCCTTTCCCACCCTCAATAGTCGTCCATTCCGGTCATAACTTTTCTCTCTACTTTGTTTCTTGTGCTTTTTCCCATTCCTAACTTTTTCCTTGAATAATATTTTATAAATATGATTCAATTCGACTCAATATCTTGGCAAAAATAGTAGAAAACGATCAGTGTTTCCAACGCAACAGTAATTCGACTAAAGATTCAATTATTTCGGCCGGCGAGGTAGTCAACAAATTTGCGCGCTTCTGTTGCGCCCAAGTGCATAATTCAGAGTTAGTTTGTTCGTTCTCATTAACACCATGTAAATTTTATGAGGCGGGGCTACTTGTATTGCATGAATTTAATGAGATCACGTACGTTAAGGTTTCATGCAGAGGGTTTGATGTGTCACACTACAAAACCATTATATTTTATAAAGTATGAAAGCTGGATTCCGTATTCCATGATTAAAATAATGGTTCCGGATCCGAGTCAATGGATTCCGGATTCTACGTCATGGATTCCGGATTCTGAAGTGCAAATTTTTGTTGGATTCCGGAATCCGGATTCCTTTACATAGGGAGACATAGGCACAGCGTACTGAATTATAATGGTCCGTAGTTGATATCACTCAGTTTAATAACATACTAACAAACTAAGTAATTTTCATACCAACAAACGTAGTATTTTTTTAACGAATGCTAGGATTGCTAGCCGTATATATAGTGTTGTATATTTGACAGTGACTAAAACAATTGTTGAGTTACGCAATTGCACATTGACCAAGTGAAAGATCATATTACAGACGTGTATCGAAAACACGATATTTTCCGCTTACATGACTTGACTATATTTAGCCAAATTTTTAAGTTGAAAAATATATATAGTGAATTTGATAAATATGGAAATACGATTTCAAAAAGTTACAACTTTTTTTCTAAAAAAATATCAAACATTTTCCACTAAATAACACAATGCTTTGATGTTCTCTTTGGAGTACTTCGCCGTGAAATCGCAGGAAATGGCCATTCCAGATTTTTAAAATTAAAAATTTTCCGCGGGAGCATGCTCCCGGAACCCCCTAGAATGTGTGGGTCCTAGAGCAGGACCTGTCGAATTTCGCTAGCTACGCCACTGGTTCCATATGTTGAATAATGCTAGATTGGATCATTAACTTTACATCTATCTTTATCTTTAAACTAGATCATTAACATTCATATTTCTAAGCTTTAGTTTTGGGTTAGCTGTGCCTCGGTCGCATGACAGTTGTTTTGGCGCACTTTTATATAGTTTTGATGAAAAATCGTACACACAACGCTTGGTAATAGTTTTATTCAATATTATTAACCAAACAAACCTGGTCCTCGTCTTTTACGACATTAATTTTATTGGTGCCGTGACCAGGATGGATGAAAATCAAAGAATTCAGTGCTCACGAAAGAGACACAGAGCACATTTGACAAAGGTTTTAAACAAGGCTACAACAATTATGGAGAATGACGAAGCCCCAAACGCCATGCAGATTGCTTCGCTCACCGCTACTATTGAACAACTCGCAAGGAAAAGAACCGTATTGAACGAACTGAACGAAAAACTCTTAACTGTGCTCAAAGATCCCGACGAACTCAAACAAGAAATCATGGAAGCAGAGATTATTGAATGTGAAATCAACGAGAAAAGTGCTCAGATAAGTGCCTTTCTTTTGTCTTGTAATACTGTTAAGAATCCAGTAATCTCACAAGTTAATGCACCCAAGTTATTACTCTCCACTACAAGTTAATGCACCCCAAGTTATTACATTTCCGCAACAAGTTAGTGCACCCCAAGTTATCACACCTCCACAACAAGATAATTCACTCCAAACCATTCCATCTCTACAAGTCAGTGAATCGCAACCCACTACATCCTCAACACTAGAAGTAAATCCATTGCAAACCCCACCATTAAACCAAGAACAATCAGTCACTGTTAACAAATCCGAAGGTGTTAGTTCAATGATTACAAGCACTAATACTGGTAATCTCCCAATGAACTATCAATCCAACCCAGTATCACCAACATCTCAACCACACCCCACCCAACCCCAAATCATGTGATTCGTTTACCCAAATTAAACTTACCAACCTTTTCTGGAAACCCCTTGACTTGGAACACATTTTGGACTCATTTAATGTAGCTGTGAATTCAAATCCGAATCTTGAAGGGGTACAAAAATTTAACCATCTAAGAGTCCAATTATCTGGAGATGGCTCTAGAGCTATAGCTGGATTCCCACTTACCAACAACAACTATAAACAAGCTGTAGTCCTTCTCAAAACTAGATTTGGAGAACCCCCAAAGATCATTAATAATCACATGCAAGCTCTATTGAACTTACCCAATCCATCCAATGACCCAACTAACCTACAGCAATTCTATGATTCTATGGAAATCCATGTAAGGGGTCTTGCTTCCCTTGGTAAATCTCAGGAATCATATGGAGATCTTCTCGTCCCCATAATCCTTGGCAAACTACCCAATAATCTTAGACGAAACTTAACTCGAGAACACAGTAACTCGGAATGGACATTCTCTCAATTAAGAGAATCCATTTATAAGGAAATTAAAATTCTGGAAGCAGGGATACCCAGTTTAGAAAATAGAATCACACCTGAAAATCATCATGATTCTATCACATCATCATTCCTATCACACAACCGACATGAAACACCACCAAGATATGTTCCACCCATTCATCCTAAACCGAAGAAATGTGTTTATTGTAAGAAAGAACATTCATCTAATGAATGTGTTACAATCAAAATTGTTCAAAACGGTGGGAAATTGCAAAGGAACAGAGACTTTGTTTCAATTGTTTGGGTCACCACAAATCCTCAGCATGCCTGTCAAAGTTTCGCTGTCGTTCATGTAAGGGAAAACACCATACCAGTCTCTGTAATGAAGGTCAGCCAAAACCTGAAATACCCTCACCAGCTGCAAACGTTACTGGGAACACCTCGGGTACTGCTGTCTACACCACTGACCCCTATTTCCCCCCTGACTAATCCCACCCACACGGAAACCTTGCTCAAAACAGCCATAGCAACAGTTGGTAATCAGACCACCTACTATGAAGCAAATATTCTCTTTGACGAAGGAGCACAAAGATCATTCATTACCAAAGATTTAGCAACCCGCTTGCAACTACAACCCTCAGAAAGAGAATTTATCAGTGTATC